ATGAAAACATGCCGCCGCAGCACCAAGTTGCCTGCTGTCATACTAGAGGAGTGCTAAATGTTTAATGACGACAACAGCGCGTGCACAACAGTGTGGGTTGTCAGGGTGCCGCTCTGAGGCCCCCGCCCCTCTTTCATCCTGACAGACTCACTAAAAAGCTCCCGATCCCCCTGCCATCAACATGGCACTGCCGCACTCCTTTCCTCCCACCCAGCAAGGAAACCTGGATGTAAATGAGCTTGGAGTACTACAGTGTGTGCGTGTGTTTGTGAGTAAGTGATAAAGATCGTGGCAGTTTAAAAGAAGACCCCCCCCCCCGCCTCCCAACATCACCATTAGACGAAGACGAGAGGAAATGAGGGAGAAGACAAGATGGCAGACGCCGACAGGATGCACAGTTGCAATGCTTGGCTTAAAATATTCCTCAAACATTTCACATCTGTCAGCTGTCTTTCTTCGGCTAAAGGAGCATTTGTCATCCTCCTCATCTCCTGTGGAAGCATGTGAGGAACAGCCACGTCGTCCTGGTTTAGGTTGCCGATAACGACATGACAAGGCCCACAGATCGAACAGCTTCACTTGGAAGGGACTCCAAAAAGTTTACAATCCAGTTTTTGAGAGGAGTTTGACGTTTAAAAACTGCTAGCAAGATTCTGAGTCATTTGATTTTATGTATCTACTGAAGCTAAACTATTTTGAGAAATCATGTAATTGCAATCTCCACCTCCCCCAATATACAATGACTTTTTCAAGGTCCTCTTCCTATGTATTCACTTTCAACAAACATAAGCAACAAATTAATCCGTATTACAATAAACAACATCCGTTTTGGTCTTATAGGTTAGGCTAAAATAAAGGCAAATTAACCTAGGTTGGGTAAAGATCCAGAGCCACTTTCAAGCGGTGCAATGCATTGGCACGATAATGCTCACATTGCCCGAGTGTATCGCTCCTTCCTATCATGTCACAGCCAAAAAGCAAGAAGAATGAAACTAAGTTTCGGTGCAAACAAAAATTAATGTTTGCGAGCAATGTTAGCTTCGGGTTAGGGACACATACTTGATTCCTCTGTGAAGTTGTTGAGGTGGGGTGAAGGGGGCCGACTTGTGTTTGGTTTAGGTGCTACAAAAACAGTGATAAGCTGCCTCTAGAAGTTACAATAATGTGGAACGGCATACACCCATGGCTCTGCATAATACAGTCCGGAATCTATCATGAAAGTGGTGAGTGTATTGGTCTGGAAGGAAACCAGTCCAATATGTAAATTGTTACCAGCAATCATTTCACTGTCCTAGTTTCACCAGTCCAAGTCAATGGTGTCAGATCACCTGGCAGGAAAGGCAGTTTGAACCGTATCAAAGCCTACTACAGGTGGATGCATGTGGGGACACACACAGACACATGCACACACGCGCACACACACAGATGCAAACACACACACACAGGCACACGCACACAAACACGAATGGAAGTTCATATGTGCGTTCAAATGAAGACAGGCTAAAGCGGGGTCAGAGATAAAAAAGGAGATTGCTATCACTGCTGAAGGATATTGAAGCCTTAATAAGAAAATATATATGGTAGTCAGGCTTAACATTTTCTTAGATACCTTTATTTGTTTTCCTGATAGCGATCCCAGAAAAACAATACTTAATGGCAGCAAATATATGGACCGGTATTCGTTTATAAGAAAATGCATTAGTTCGCAAAATGAATTTTGAATCTTGAAAACCGCTTAAGACCACCCCTCAACAATCCTCACAAGATTAAACGTGCACATTTTTGCTTTTTCTTTTGGTTTTTGTGCCTCTTATTTCAAAGGAAGGAGCGGTTTACCAGGGAGTTTTGAGAAAAGAATACACACTCTAAATTACATTAAGAATATGGAAAAAATCTGAATGTTTTTCTCGTTGGCTTTAATCCCAAAATGTGTTGCATTATTGAAGACATGTTTTCCAGCAAAAATACAATTAGTGATCCATTTAAACTTGGTTAAAATATAAACGGGCATCAATTGCAGATTTAGGCAACAAGTCAGGTCAGGTCAGCATTCACGACGACTACCATAAGAAAGACACTGGCCAAAAATGGCATCCATGGTTGAGTTCCCCAGCAAAAACCACTGCTGTCCAATAAGAACACAAAGACTCATCTCACATTTTGCCAACATTAATTCAGTCTGTTAAATGGACACATCATGGAAGGGGCAAGACAAAGTGGTGGCTCTCCTGAGCCCCGACAGTGCTCATTAAACACGCAGCACAAGGAGCTGGCACCGTGCTTCATATTTGAAAGACTGTGGGATTTCTTCTGTGTCAAAAGGTATCTCAGGCTGAGCTGGTCAGTGTTAACATTTGACTATTAATTATTCCACTCGACAAGCCAGCCCATGATGAACACTCAACGCATATGTGTCTTCTACAGGACACACACACCTTTTTCCAGTACAGTGGAACCTCCAGTCACGAACGTCACTGTTTACGATCAATTCGAGTTGCACAAAAACTTTTCATAGAAAAATGACCCCGATGTATGTACTCATTTGAAATACAAACAATCTTGGCATGGACTAGCGAATGCATCTATGCTGTGCTTCTTCTTGTGCTGCATTTGCATTACCATCACTAACAATGTGCAGAATATTTTGCTGTAAACTCAAAGTTATAGTTGTATGCCTCAGCAGTGGAAGGCGCAAAACTATTGCATATGTGGGCAGAACTTCCGCCTCCACATTCTCAATCGTCCACTCAGAAATGACAAAAAAAAAGTCTCAAAAGCACTTGATTTTCATGAGGAATTGCGAGTAGCTTATAGGAAAGGTGTCATATATAACCTTAAATATGAACAATTTTGTCAATCATGCAAAAATGCATGGCTCTCCATGACCACACGCAAGGGCATTCCAGTATCTGAATTGCTCCATTTTTTTCCACTTCACTCAAAGCTCGCTGGTACTGTAACTAAAATTTTTGCTCGTAATACAAAGTGTGGAGGGGAAAAAAAGAAAAAAAAGAAATTTTTCCAGCCTTTCCGCACCTTGATATATGTCATGCAAAATGTCATGTTCAGTTAATCACACAAAATATATGCCGACATAGTGACTGCAACAGTAAGTCTGGTTGGAAAAGCTCAGTTACTGTGCATTTTTTGCTGTATTGCACCCATCCATCTATCTATCCATCCATCCATCCATCCATCCCTCCATCCATCAAATGAGATACATTTTATTGAGGTTTGCTAATAAACTGAGATTGGCTAGACAGTCAAAATTTCCATAGACCACCCACTTCAGATTGATTTTAACTTGTGAGTTCAGTCCTCCCACACTGATGTGAGGCTGAGCAGATGGTGTGCATCACTTGATGAAATCCACTTAAGTATACTTTTACACACGCACGCACACACACACACACACACACACACACAAAATCAACATTCAATCTGACATGTGAAATGGCGAAACTCATTCTGTGTGTGTGTGTGTGTGTGTGTGTGTGTGTGGGGGGGGGGGGACGGAGTGTATTTTATTATTTTTTTCAAACAAGGCTATAGTTCAGCAATATGAGCATTACGAAGGCTCTATGACTACCCATGTAGTTGGAAAATTATCAATAGCCCCACAACCACTTCGCAAAAATAGAATGCTAATTAGAGGACACACCTTGGTTGAGCATGTCCCTATGGTCAAATTATTTTCAATATTTTCTAGGTGTATCATCAGCCTGTTTCATGAGTGTGCCTGTTTTTTTTTTTCTGCTGAACCACAATTCAAAAGCGATGTCTGATTTTCATTGGTTAATTTTCATATTTTTTAAGAATTTAATATTACTTTTAAATTATTTCGGTGACCACTGTGGGTTTTCCTGGCAGTAACAGAGGGGTAACAACAGTTTTTCTCCACGAGTGTATTGGCATGTGAGTATTTCTCCATTGTGAGACAACTAAAGGTTTTCTTACCTTTTCTTATTTATTGTCTGTCTACATGTGATTGTTGTTTGTGTTCAAATATCAGTTGCTTCTAGGCTTAAAACACTGCGCCACTAATTCTCTTTGTTTGCCCATCGAAGGCATTTTGCATTGTGCTGATGGCTTTTTTTCAACACACATTTGACCATAAACTTCAACTGGGAGTTACAATTAACAGCTTGAAGCCCCGTTTGAATATTTCACTTAACGTGCCATTAGCAAAACAAATATTACTACTAATAAAAATAATAATAATAAGAAGAAAACTAAGTCAATGTCCCATTGTATGTGGTTACTATAAAAATGCATCCTCCCTAAATAATTAACAACTCCAACTGAATCCCTAACTGCTTTTCTTTTAAACATTTTCATTCAAGGAGTAACATAATTTTACGACTTGATATAAAAAAATAAAAAAATAGAGGCATGTGACATTGAAGAAGGACTTAGGATGTTATTCTGGTGGAGACCTGTAAGGTAATTTGCCCTGAAGCAAAACCTCCCTCCACCTTTAAAAGACAACATGTTAAGTCACCAATGCAATTCGCGACAGTTCCAGACCTCGGTGAAAGGTTGAAATTGACTAGCTTGGATCCCATGACAGAAGCACTAAAGGCACTGGAGATGCATCGAATCTTATTATGCAGCAAGACTTATTGCAGATGGACCACGAGTGGCAAAAGTTGAGTTAAAGGTATCAAACTTCAACAAAGTCGCTAAAAATGGAATAACCTTCGACTGCTCTATCACCATGTCATCGTCTCTTACAAGAGGGAACTGGATCAGATTATCAGAAGGGTGCAGGCAGATGCTTGATTGCAGAAGGAAATTGAAGGAGAAAAGAGCGATGGGTAAAAGGATTGAGTGACAGATGGATGGAAGGATGATGAAGGCAAAGCTTCATATTTGGCCTCTATTATACTCTGTGTGTCCTCTGTGGAGTGAGTGGAATTTAGGACTGATATGAGAGGCGCTCAGCATGTGAGTCTACTGGTGCACATACACTTGAATGTGAGGGGTTATTCATCACTTACCCCTTTTTCTCCACCTTGTCCTTGGTCTTCTCTCTGTCCCTGTCCCGATCCCGTCCCTTGTCTTTATCTCGGTCGCGGCCTTTATGTCTGCTCCGGGCCCGGTCTCTGCTGCGGCTCCTTCGGCGCCCGTGGCTTCCTCGGCGACTGCGGCTGCCGCTCCTGCTGCGAGATCGTCGGTGGCGAGAATGAGACCTAGGAGATGGAGGGGATGTTTAGACTGCGGGAAATGAACAAAAGTGTGGACTTGGGGTGGAACGAAAATCGATTTGAAATGAAAAATTTTGATTTTGACCGGTTTTGGTCATTCAACCGAAGCGAATCAACATGTTACGTTTTAAAATGTACCGTCCTAAAATCGTCTCACACCTCATGTGTCAAGATACCTGGATATATGGAAACGTATATTATGAATCTGTCTAAAGCAGTTATGCTGATGTTGCTAATGATTTGTGCTGTACTATATTTACTGTGTATATTATCTGGCCAAACTGTCCTTGTAAGGTTTGATGATATTGTCTATTTAAATAGAATGCCACAACCACCTCTTGGTTATGTTTGTGGCGTTGTTATGTTAGCTGTATTATATTTGTGTACTGCTGTATCTCGTCTGGTTTGGCCTTCTTTTCTTTTTCCTTTTTGCGATTTACTGTGATGTTTGTCAAGAGCGATGGATTACCTGGGTCTCATTTTTTGGTTTGTAATCACAAATCCTGGCATTTGAACACAGGTGTGTTGTCTATTTATACCTGCTGTAACTTGCTTTTTCCTGGAATTTGTGCGCCACTGCTTTTTGAATCGTTGAAAGTGGTAAGAGAAGACAAAATGTCCACCAGATTGGCGGTGACCGAGCACTGTAGTCTGCCGTTAAATGTTTCGCTGTCACGATAGCTGCAAATGATAAACAGTGTTGAGCTATGCGAGGTACATCAGTGACAGCAATTATTTTATCTAAAGAATGGGAGTGTTTATAGTTGGTTGAATGTTTCACTTTTGCTTGAACATGTGACAATAAATACTGTTCAAATGTTCATATAAAAAGGGGCCTGCCTGTTGGTTAAGACTCAAATTATCCATCGGTGTGAATATGAGTTTGAATGTTTGTCTGTCTACATGTGCAACATGTTTGGCTGGCAAACAGTCCAGCGTGTACCCTGCCTCTCATCTGTAGTCAGCAAGGACAGGATCCAGTTACCACCCAAATGACGACAAGCAGTATTGAAAAATTGATGGATATTATCACCTATAAAAATATAGATAAACAATCTCCCACTGTCATTGACACATACGTACACTTTGGTCTACAATTAATCAAGCACGCATGTTTTTGGAGGCAGAATGAGAACCCGGAAAAGCCAAAAACATGCAAACCGAGCAAAAACATGCAAACTCTATACAGGAAGACCAGACACCAGCTTCAACTTGGGACTTATGGTCTGTGGGGCAGATGTGCTAACCACTATTCCATTGTACTGCGGGACGAATGGATAATTGATCCCTGATTTTTGTTTTGTTTTGTTTTTTGTTGAGACAATCAGAGCAAAATAGACACTGAATGGATTGTAGTCGAACTTATAAAGTGAGCTTGAGACAGTGTAGATTTTCAATGCACATCGCTCATAAATCTATACAGAGTGCTCCTAGTTCTCTCTTATAGTCTCTGTGGTTGCTGTCTATAGTTTTGACAATAACATATAGACAATATAATAAAATAATAGATTACATGACTTCAAAACGCTGGAAAAGTAGATTAAATCGACTGCAGATGACAGGCCACCTCTCTTCATGGAGTCGTTAGAAGAGATAGAGGCAATGTAATTCTTGTGACTGTCACCAAAAGGCTTCCTTTAAAGCGCTTTGCGTTCATCTTTCCCTGTGTGGGTGTAATGCCAGTTACATTAAATCAAACACACACACACACACACACACACACACACACACACACACACACACACACACACACACACACACACACACACTGCAGAGATATAGCCAATTAGAGGTCGGCTCAGAGGAGGACCAGTCATCGGTATTGATCCCACTACTGACCCCCTGGTCTCCAAAAGATTTACAGTGGGAAGATTTACTCTTAGTTAACACACACAAGCGTGACTGCATAATTGTATACACACACACACACACACACACACACACACACACACACA